CTCGAAAACCAATGATGTAAGTTTACCTTGAAGAAAGACAAAATAATATATGTATTTCCATGATGAAATTGTAATTTACAGGATATATTATTTTATATAATTTGACTACAATAAATATGTAAAGCTTAACTTTTAAAAATAGAATACTTTATACTTACGCGCTATCCCTTTCCTATAATATTTTTACAATAGAATTACAATACAATCTGAAATACAATTGGTGAAAATCTATGCAATTGTTCGGTAATCATACAGGTAAATATACAGTTTAGGGGCCTCACCTCAAATCTCAATGAAATAAATTATGCTCAATCGACGCGTTTTTGTACGAAACGAAAGAATCTGGCAGAAAAAAAGTGTCGCTCTGCCCCGCGACGCGAGATATTAAACGTTAAAGTTGATAGGAATCAAGTTATGATGGATGGATGAAGGAAATAAACCAATCAATTTTCTTTACGCATTATGCGTTGTGTAGAAGTGTGTGCTTCCCGCTTAAAGCCTTGTGTACACGATAATTGAAATCGGTCCGAGTTTCGGTTTAAGCCAATCAACTTGTAGCTCTTACAGAAAAGCAGCAGTTTCATTGGCTTAAACCGAAACTCGGACCGATTTCTAGTATCGTGTACACAAGGCTAAAGAAAATAGACCAATCACACTCGATTATTCTTCGAGCTCAAGGAGAATAATCGACTGTGATTGGTCTATTTTCTTACGGCCTTACGATTATGACTAAAACTTTGTTACGTGCAATGGCCTTTAAATCGTCTATTATGGACCGATATCACAGTCTCCGATTAACGTGATCCTCCGATTAAACTCACTCTTCATCTCTTTCTAGGGGGATAGTTAGAAAAAGATGCAGAATGAGTTTAATCGGAGGATCACGTTAATCGGAGACTACCGGCCCTTTTGATTACGACTTGACGAAGATTGTCTTATTTAACAACATATATGTCAAATAAGATAATCTTAAACGACTATGAATTTTATAACTAATAAGATAATTTTCAGTCCTTACTTACAACGAATGAGATAAGTTTATGAATCATAAGATCATGCTTTGGAAGAAGATCGTCTTCGACAAACTACGCTTTGAGATTTTTCTTAAGTATTAAGACTTGTTTTATGGTAGGTATTCATAGTTATTTAAGGCCAATATTCATAGTCTTCAAGATCGTCTTAAGTAATGTCTTAAGACGCTAATACGGCTCTGTAATTGGTTCATGACATCTTAAGATTAAACTTAAGACGGTCTTAAATAACTATGAATACCGGCCTAAGATCGTCTTAAGTTTAATCTTAAGATGTCATGAACCAATCACAGAGCCGTATTAGCGTCTTAAGACATTACTTAAGACGATCTTGAAGACTATGAATACCGGCCATTTAAGTAATGTCTTAAGACGCTAATACGGCTCTGTGATTGGTTCATGACATCTTAAGATTGAACTTAAGACGGTCTTAAATAACTTATGAATACCCTAAGAGCACAGTTGACGGAAAGTCGACGGTAAGTCGACTTTTATAAGTCGACTTCTAGTCGGCTTCTAAAAATGGCAGAAAGTCGACTAAAAGTCGACTTCTAAATAGGCGACTTTTAAAAATGGCGGAAAGTCGACTAAAAGTTGACTTCTAAATAGTCGACTTATAAAAGTCAACAAAAAGTTGACTTTTATAAGTCGACTTCTAGTCGACTTCTAAAAATGGCGGAAAGTCGACTTTTAGTCGACTTCTAAATAGTCGACTTATAAAAGTCGACGGAAAGTTGACTTTTATAACTAGAAATCGACTTATAATTTATAAGTCGACTTCTAGTCGACTTCTAAAAATGGCGGAAAGTCGACTTTTAGTCGACTTTTAAATAGTCGACTTATAAAAGTCAATTTTCCGTCGACTTTTATAAGTCGACTTCTAGTCGACTTCTAGTCGACTTCTAGTCGACTTCTAAAAATGGCGGAAAGTCGACTAAAAGTCGACTTCTAAATAGTCGACTATAAAAAGACGGAAAGCAGTCAAGCGGCGCGTCATCAATATGGCGGCGAATCTCGAGGAGGCTGGAGGAGAAAATTAATGTTTACGCGAATGCAAGGAATATATGCCGCGAGACAGGACACGATAAGACGTCGAAAAGCGCCGCGCTATCAACCACCGCCACGAAACGTCGTCGTCGTCGTCATCATTGTCTTCCCGTTGACTTCCTCGATTAGATCAGAATACTGGAATTTGACTGTATGTATGTTGCAATATGTTTGAGACGGTTGTCTACATTGTCTACAACAAGAATTGTTACAGAATGCCGTTACCAACCGACATGGAAGCGAAATTGCTGCGCCAGATAGTTCTTGCAGGTATGGCGGATCTAAAAGAGGATCAGGATAAGGCCAAGTGGAAATATGCTTTAGAGGTTAGGTATGGTGTGTTATTAATTATCATCGATAATTAAGACCTATTGAATGCGACCTCTCTATTCTGAACCATCTTTCAGAACACCATCAGAAATGGAGGAACCTGGTTCATGCATTCTTTGTGCGTTCTACGGAAAATCAGTCCGGAATAGGTGGTTTATAAAGAGGTGTACGAAACGAATAAGATGTATATGCGAGGTGTCACGGCGATAGAACCCGAATGATTGCCGAAATTCGCTTCCACGCTATGCCATCTTAGTGAATCATTGGTTGATCCACCGCCAAGGTATTTTTATCACAATTGTTGCTTTATAATGTTTTCCCTATTTATTTATAAAGATATTAATCTTCATTATGATCGAATATTATTCTCATTTATAGATATAATCAAGAAACCGGGAAGATCATTTGCCGCGTGTCTGGTACATTTGGAAAGGCCGGATGGGGACTACCATCGATGGATATAGAGCATCTGTGGACGGTGTAAAGTGGTTCGCGTATTTCTTCTTGGAGGGTCAAGTGTACCCTAAGCTGAAACGATTTGTTCCGTCGTTGCTGACGACACCTGGGAGCATCACCAAGTCATGGGCCAGGTAAATCGTTATTCTATCTCCTTTCGATTTCACGTTGATTTGTCGAATAGATTACATCAATTCAATACGATTTTTTCAGGTTGATACCACGCACTCAAGCAATAGTACAAACGTTGCAGTCGCAGGGAGTCGTGTCCAAATACAAACTGCTAGAAATCTGGGGTTTGGATGAAAAATGTGAGATTTTAATTTATAAAATAATATTTAGATATTATCATCGAGTAGACTTCTATACAATACTAGACCGCTGACAGGCATCTTGGCCGTGATGCTTGCCGCCATGTTGATTTTAGTCAAGATATGCTATACTACAGATTCTATACAAGTAGTTTTATACAAGATTTCTATACAATAGTCTGGCATATACAGAATGTCCAAAAGAAACGGTTTAATACTACAGGAGTAGTGGTTCGATTTCGGCATTCAAGTAGCTACACGTTGAAGGCATGACTTACAAACTTATTGATAACATGTACCAATATTTAACACAAAAACATTCGCCTGCTTCGTTATGTACTGTAATAACGAATGCAGATAAACGCACATCATGAGCAACTGAACACCCGATAGTGACTTATTGTTAATTCAATATGGCCGCACCCTTCACTAACACTTGCACCTCGCACTCGCATCAGCTTTTCGGCAGTGCGTCCATAGATGTTAATGGTCTAGTATAAAAGTCTGTGGATATTATATATTTATAATTTTAGTTCTGTTGTCAGCTTACAAGAAGTGGCTGCCGGAATCCGCGCACGCAGAAGTGGCACAGATATGACGGCACACAGTGGCCGCCTTTGTAATTAAGAATAAAACATTAGGATTGTAATTATACAGTTTTTTAGATAATTAAATTATTTTATATATGAAAAAAAATCGAAATGCATCAGTTTTAGCCTTCCAGCAAAGGGTCGATTGTGTATCTTGAAATAATGAGGTAAAAATTACAAAAGTGAGAAAATTCATTAGCGTATCTACGATTTTATTTATCAGAATCTAATAAAATCTGTTAACTTTTGTCATTTTTACCTCATTTCAAGATACACAACCGACCTCCAGACGCGGCGGCGGTTTATTTTATCGACTTTAAAAGTTGGCGGAAAGTCGACTTTCCGTCATGACGGGAAGTCGACTTGAAGTCGACTTCTACCGAAACTGACTTGGCAGAGAAGTCGACTTTTTTAAGGACGAAAGTCGACTTGAAGTCGGCGAATGTCTCAAAAAACGCCGACTAAAAGTCGACTTTATCCGTCATGACAAGAAGTCGACTTTTCGTCATGACGGGAAGTCGACTTCTTGTCATGACGGAAAGTCGACTTTTAAGGTGCCAATTCATGAGACGCTGAAAATGAGCGTCAACAAGGTGAACGTAGTGGTTTCGCTTTGACGCTAGCGTCAAAGAAATGAAGTTGAATTTGTTTAATATTCAGCGTCGTCGCTGAATCGTCGTTAATCGTCCCAGTACAATTAAACATAGACTTCGAAATACGTAAAATATTAATTATTTTCAAGTAATATCTTCAAGTAATAATATTTTATGGATACATATATAAATAAAAGATATTATTTCTGAAGATTTTTACTTGCTAAAAATGAGCGTCGAGCGTTAACGTGAAAAGGCACCTTTAGTCGGCGTTTTTTGGGACATTCGCCGACTTCAAGTCGACTTTCGTCCTTAAAAAAGTCGACTTTCTGCCAAATCAGTATCGGTAGAAGTCGACTTCAAGTCGACTTAAAGTCGACTTTTTGCTCTTAGGGTACCGGCCTATGACTGTGAATCAAAGCGCCATCTTTAAGACTGTATGTACTTAAGAAGATCTTGAAAATAAGCCTTGACTATGAATACGTGCCCTAGCATCGTGGACACAAGGCTTTAGACCGTGGCCCTTCGTATGTATTTGACCGGAAATGAATGTCCGGGAAAAAATCTACCATATGAAATCGTTTGTATTTCGTATGAAGACTTTCGAAATGCAATTGAAAAGGTTTGTGAGTCATTCGTTTAATTGTAATTAATTAATTATTTTTACACCATGCATTTAGCCGAAATAGATAAATTAATAAAAGTTTTTATACGGAATCGTTTATATTTTGTATGAAGAGTTATGAAGTGTGATTAAAAAAGTTTGTGAGTCACCCAGATAATTTTAATTAAATATTTATAAACTCGGTAATTAGCCGAAATATAGATTTTTAGTTATTCATGTTAAAAGAAGAAGGCGCTAGTGTTCCCGAAGGTCCGTCTGCAATCAGAATTAACATGAACGTTTTAAAAATTATTTTATACTGAAATAAATAAATATACAGGCTAATAAGCCTGTAGCTATAAGCGATAGTTGCTAATTAAGTTTGTAAAGATGTACCAGCTGTGCAGGATGAAGAGCAGGTTATCTCAAACGCTCTGCCACAACCCAATTAAAAGAGACTCAAATGTCATTACCGCTGAGAAGTACTTTTTGCCATTTAAGTTAGCATGTCAGAGCAACCGGATTGTCCATTGCGTTCCACCTTGAATTTTTTTTACAGTCGTTTATTAGGATTGCCCTACTTTTAAATTGAGCGCTTTTAAATGTATTATTATTAAACTACCGATATCGATATATTATTAGTAATTATTAAAACTTGACAGAGTGACGTAAACTAATTCGCTCATAGTATTATAACAAAGTATTATATATGCGTTCAAATTCTCGAAAGCTAATAGCTTCTTTACTATGCTCTCTCTTTATGTCGATCGATTCAGATAAAAATCTCCGAAGTCTTTCTTTCTCTCGCAATATTCCTAGAGTAAAACTGTACAAAAGCTCTACGAAATTGGCGATATTTTTCACGGATCTGGTTCGAGTCTCGGCTCTTGAGGAAGGTGCGCATGTAGAAAGAGTACGCCAACACAGTTTATCCTGCTAAATGGTTATCAATTCTCTATAAGTTCTGTATTGTACATAAATTATAGAATATCTAAACGTTTCTTTTTTTTCGATGTCCTGTGACATTGTACAATAGAGTTACAAATAAAGATAAAGCCACACTTTACGTATAATCTGATTCAGTCTTTGCTAATGTTACATAATAACGTGCGAAAGAACTAACAGTTAGACTATTTAAGAGGCTATTTAAGAATTTTAATTGATACTGGAAGCATAAAACTGTTCAGCTAGCTTTACACAAGATATTGGTCTTCTTCTTTATGAAATCGTCAAATTATGATTATGATACATTTCTACATTATCACCAGCATCGAATCTAATCTTATTTATCGTGATACTCTTGAGAAACTGTTAATCCATTGTCTTAACTCGATCGCGGCGCAGAACTGCGTCCACCAATATTGCTCTTCTCCCTCCAATCGATTCCCGTAAAAGCTGTCTACATATTGAACAGTCGATACAACGACGGCGGATTAGTCTGAAATTAAGCACACGTTAACAATCACTCTTCTTGCTAAAATCACAATTCTCTTTTCAATCGCATACCTTGATTATGACATACCTGTAGACCAGCACGGGAGTCAGATCGTCGGCAGCAGGTATGCCTCTTTCCGACGCCATGGAGAAGAGATTCATGATGGTAGTCGCGCAACAAAATACACACTGCAACTTATCCCTAGGAGTCTTATACGCCGATATCACAGCCAATTCAGCCTGCGCCCATGACCAGGGGCATTCGTAATGATAAACTTTTGAAATGCGTAGGTCCCTGTGATTTGAAGTTACGACCTTTGCCAACTTATTAATATGACCGTGAAAAAGCTGCGGTCCCTATATACATCTCCATCTTCATTTAGATAGAGCGCATTGTGGTATACCCGTGCCATGACGGTTCTTTCCACCACGACTCTCGCCAAATCTAATTGGTTGGCGCTTGCCGCTGAAAGTAAGAAGTAAGTTCAGACGTCTCTGAGCACTCCGCTAAGATCAATTGCGAGATAAATAATTATATTCATGTATGTACATTGCCAAATCGGATCATTGTCCATTTCCACGTGGACCTTCCCTAGAAAATTATCCACGGGATCCTGTTTCTCGTCAACTAGCGTAAGCGTAAGCTTACTAGCGTAAGCTTTTTAAACTCTTTGCAGGAGGAAAGCTTTCTTTTTTTCCAAAAATACCCTCACACAAACGGATACAAGATGATTATTGATAGCATCTCGATTGCACTTAACTCGCACGCACAATCTGAAAAATATTATTATTAAACGGTTAACATCTTACATTTAAACATCTTACATTTACTTATACATTACATACAAAGATGATATTTATATATAAACAGTACCTATCTAAGTGAGCTAACGTCGACAGCAATCCCTGACGACATCTGATTAAATATGCGATATAAGGATATCGCTTTTGATAATCCTCTCGAAGTGATTTGGAGAGCTTTCTACATCCATCGTCATTAAATAGACGCACGCAACGTAAAGTTTCATGAAGATGAGCTAGTTAGACTTAGCTAACTAAAACTTAGCTCAGCTTCAGTTTTGCCATTTGCTATTGACAGAACCCTCCTGCTGATGTTTTCCATCAAGCCTCACGTTCTCTTCCGCAAAGATCACGTTGATCATCTGCATGAGAGTCGCATAGGCTGTTGTACGTTTGATTCACCAGGTTGCGCGACGACAAGTAAACGTTGTAAACAGTACTGTACCATCGTATACCTCCACATGCTGGCTTGTCTTTACAGTCAGCAGAGCTTTAATAATCTGCAGCTGCACACTCTCATCGGTCTGTGGACCGGTGAAGCAACTGCAAATTGTCTCGACAATGCGCACAATCAGCAGCTTGTTAGGCTCCGTTGAATCAGGCACATTGGGTGCGTTCAGCCGATACTCCGCTAGCATAGCAATCGTGAGCAGTCGCTCGTTTTCGCTCGTTTCCTCTCTTTTTAATCCATTGGGTCAAAAGAGAGGGAACGAGCGAAAACGAGCGACTGCTCACGATTGCTAGGCTAGCGGAGTATCGGCTGAACGCACCCATTGCTAGTGAGATGGCTACATGCGAATAACTTCTGCAGGCAGTCCAGTGCTGTGTCACAATCCGTAGTGACTAGCTCTGACATGCTGACTCAAATGGCAAGAAGTACTTCTCAGCGGTAATGACATTTGAGTCGCTCTTGATTGGACTGTGGCCCAATTAAGGGCGTTTGAGATAACCTCTTCACCCTGCACAGCTGGTGTACATGCATCTTTGATCTCGTTACGGAGGTCCTCTGCAAGATGGAAATATGAATGACAAACTTAATTAGCAATTATCGCTTATAGCTACAGGCTTATTAGCCTTTATATTTATTTATTTCAGTATAAAATAATTTTTAAAACGTTCATATTAATTCTGATTGCAGACGGACTTTCGGGAACACTAGCGCCTTCTTCTTTTAACATGAATAACTAAAAATCTATATTTCGGCTAATTACCGAGTTTATAAATATTTAATTAAAATTATCTGGGTGACTCACAAACCTTTTTAATCACACTTCATAACTTTTCATACAAAATACAAACGATTTCGTATAAAAACTTTTATTAATTTATCTATTTCGGCTAAATGCATGGTGTAAAAATAATTAATTAATTACAATTAAACGAATGACTCACAAACCTTTTCAATTGCACTTCAAAAGTCTTCATACGAAATACAAACGATTTCATGGTAGATTCTTTCCCGGACATTCATTTCCGGTCAAATACATACGAATCCGTGGCCCCTACCTGGAAATTAGCCAATCAGAGTAAAGGTGGAAGCACATAAAATTGCAGGAGCCATAAAGCAGAAAGCAGAAGCCATATGCGCATGCGCTATGGTATCTGAAGAGCTCTAAAGGTGGAAGCACATAAAATTACAGGAGCCATAGGCAGAATGCAGAAGCCATAGCGCATGCGCTGTGGTATTACTTTATCTGCTTATGGCAGAATAGCAGGGGTGCGTTCAGAAAGTCACCCGGGGTACACCAAGCTCACCCGAAGTGGTGGGGGATGGGCGTGTCTATTTGACACGCCCAGAGAACTGAGCGCGTAATTTAAATTTGATATTATTTCTATTGATATTTGCATCGAATATTTATATACATCAGTGAAAAAAAAATATGCTAGAATAATAATAAATAGTAATTTACACTGTGATTCTCATAGTAGGTCTGTTCATTTTCGCTGCATTTCTGAACTAGTGCAATAAGTTATACGGGGTCTATAATGCGAGTCGTAACCCAGGTAGCATTAATGTCTAAAAGACATCATAAAGATGTCTTTAAGATGCCAGAAATCTTAAAGATGTCTTTGAGACATTAATTGCTACCTGGGAAGTCATAAGTCGTAAGAAATTGACCAATTAAGTCGAATTTGAGGAGAGTAATCGATTGCGATTAGTCAGTTTCTTATAACTTACGACTTACGACTCGCATTGTAGACCCCAAAATATATTTGTTTCGTTCTAACTTATTGCATTAGTTCAAAAGTGCATCGAAAACGAACAGACCTAGTATTTTATACAAAAAATTGTATACATAATTTTATACAAAAAACTACATTATAATTAATTATAGATACTATTTTTGCCTTCTTAAAAGCTAATTGCGCCAAGAAAAGTTTATTATATTTTATATTAAATGACAT